TTTACAAATAAAGCAATAAAACAAGTCAAGTGATCAAAATGATCCATATTCCGAATAAGAATATAAGTCGTAATTCCAAAGGAAACAAACTTCAATAACATATGATAAGCATAAAAGGAATTCAAAACAAATTATTCGGAATTTATCACAGATTATCTGGATTAGGAAGCCTTACGCAAATGGCTATTCCCGTGTCAAGTGAGATATGGAATCCGTACTTTAACCGAATTTGACAATTAACGCACGATCAAACGGAAATTCACGATCAAGTTTGATTTACCCGCGTGCCTAACGAATGCATAAACGGTTAATATTTATAAAGCATAGAAACCATAATATAACTATTCTGATAAATTTACTTAGGTCTTAATGTACTTGATACGAATTGAAACTCAAACGTAAAAAAAATTTAACCTTATTCTCTTTCGATCCAACCGTTTCCGACCCTCTTATTTCTAAGCATTTTTACGTATCTTAGAGACCAATCCAGACTATACTGTCTAAATGAAAGTTGTAGTATGCAGTATGATCTTCCTGACTGCAAAATATGAGCTTAATTCGACTTACGGTTTGTGAGTTATACACTGCCAAAGTATAGGGGTTGCATTGTCGGTAAAATTCGATTCCGTAATTTCCGACTAACTTTTATGATCCAACTTTCATGATTCGCTACATTTACATGCTATAAACATTCTAAACAGTAAAACAAATCTAATGGTCGTTAACCTAAGCTTAATCATACATTTTTACTCGTTTCGACATTTAACCGAACAATTGGTGTACGGTTAAACATTTACCCACAATCTAACCATATTGAAACTATAATATACTATTTTCATTTCTACATCGATATATTCAGTCTTAGCATCGTAAACATCAAATATATCATAATTTTGATAACATCAATCCGTAAACTTAGATATAAACATAGTTTATAAACCGGTCTAAATAATCCTAAAATAAATACCTTAATGAAGCTGAATGAAACTTATACCTTTAAGAAGGGTTCGGAGAGTGGATTCCGAAAATATAATTGTTGTCTCGATCCCCTTACTAACTTAACGTAAAATCTAGAGAGAAGACGACAATTTTAGAGAGTGAGAGAATTGAGAGAGAGAGAGAGAATTGAGAGAGACGGTTCACCGCCTCTATACATACATACATATATATTTATTTATTTTTTGTTTTTTTACAACCGCCTCATGCATTATATATATATATATATATATATATATTTACTTTTTTTTATTCATTAATTATATATATATATATATATATTTACTTTTTTTATTCATTAATTATATATATATATATATATATATAGTTTAACTATTTGACGGTTTTTACCCTTCAAGTCTATATTCTCAACTTTTACGTCAATATAGGTATAAACACATTTTGACGTAAAACTAGTCTAGGGTACAAATTGGTTAAGCATAGGGTACAAATATATTATACATAATTCTACCAAAATTCTCTTAACC